ACTGAATTCCAGCGACCCCAGAGCGACAAAGACACCTCCCGAGAAAATCGCAGATTTCCGGTTGGGTACCCTCCCAGTCACATTCGCACACTGCAAATAAGAAAAGTCATTTCAGAGGCAGCCTTTGCACAGACTTTATTATTTTATCTTTCTTCAAATAATTAAAAAGCAAAACAAAACCAACAAAACCCCCAAAAAAACAACCAACAAAAAAGTAACTTCCCGATGCTCAACAGGACTGAAATCTTTCCATCAGATTTATTTTGATTCATAACAGCTTTTTTTGCCCACAACAGTAATAATTCATCACTGAGGAAGACAATTAATGAAAGAGCAAAAGAATCTGACTCAAACTAATAACCGGGTTCAATATCAGTGTTGCAGTACTACACTTATCCTGTCCCCACACAGAGTCTGATTTATTGGTGCCAAGTGGTATGCCAGCTATTGAAAGTAGTTCCATCCTTTTTTAAGACTAAAATTAAATGATTTATGGTTTTGATTCACACTCTCAGGTGGAATGGGTTATTATAATGAATAAAAATGAAGTACAGAGATGGTTAATAAAGTTTTAAACCAGTCAGCTTTCTAGTATTCATTAAAAAGGACAGCTTGGTGCATCAAAGTGAGGTTACAAACTCAGATTAAACACATTCTGGTTTTTTTAAAAAGAAGATAAATAACAGAAATGTTCCCATAGGTATTCTAAATTTCATCAGTGTTACTAAATCCAATCCCAAACTAGAGTCTGACAGCTCCATTACACAGTAGACAGCAGTCAAGGAAATAGGGGCATTTTTAGACAGAAACCTCCCCCTTGTTTGACTTCTGTAAGTTTTAGGAGAGCCCCTTATGAACACACCTCTGTGGCAAAACTTCATCCCTCAGTATAAAACCCGAGTTTGTATTTCGGATACGCTTGCCAAAAGGGAACGTTTGGCTTACCCTGGCAGAAAGGGTAATGAAAATACCCAGCTGTACAGGTATCACAGGAAAACCCCCCAAATCCAGTTCGACATCTGCACTGTCCTGTATGTCCATCGCAGTCGCCACCCAGAGCTCCTGCACCATGACACTGGCACGCTGAAGAGCACATTTACAAAGAAAAGAGTGGTGGCATTACAACCTTAAAGTTCCTATTTTGCTTGGAAGGCAGCAGCTGGCATTCGCAGTGGAGCACAGGCTCCAAATATCAAAGAAACTACAACACTTACGCAGACACTGGGGGCCAAAATACCCTGGTTTGCAGCTACCTTCTAGTTACAACAGGAAAGGAAAAGAAAGAAAGGAACAATATTAGTGCATACAATCATGCAACTCCTCGGATATTTGCAGAGAAAAACAGGTCAGTGCTTAGCAATGATAACGCTTGAACTGACTACACTATTTGTATGAGCCTAATACACAAATCTCATTTTTAAAAACAATAATCTGTAATCGTGCTTAGTCTGCCAGCACAGATTTACAACTTCTACAGGCACAGAAGCTTCTTCTTAGAGGCCTTTGTTATGCCTTCAGACTAGGATGCTACTCACTGAAAATGTAAATAGCTCAAGATCTGTTTTCTCTTATTTATATTTATTCAGTTTTCTTCAGAGTTTTCTTTCTTCTTCCTCTTAAAAATACGTGAGAGAAGGGGATATGCGACACAGCATACCCACAGGCCTACCAGGGCAATTATTTTGGATGCTGTAAGAAGGAGGTAAGTGGTACAGGAGACTGAAGTTTTACGGGCTGCGATGGGAAGTGCAGACACTTGCAAGAAAACAATTGGAACTTGTAAACACATACATGGATTTGTACTGTCTGCTTATAGCGAAGTCTCTGTTACATTCACAGAAGAAAACACTTTTTCATTTGCCAACATAAACTCCAGCTCTATTAAAGCTAAGGGAAGATTTTAGGATATGAAAAAACATTTAGAGGTTTTTTAAAGTTATTAATCCTGAAGTGCGTTATAAATATGCATGTGATTAAGTGCAAGCTGTGATGATGTCTCTGTTCTGCAGTATAATAATATATGCTAAAGAATATAAGCCCACCGAGGGAATCATTGTATGGATTTCAGGCAGCTTTACAGTGGGCTAAATAAGAAATACATAGCTCTCTCAGAAATCAAAGTTCTTCACTGCCAAGGGCAATGTGCAATTTGCCAGGTGCAAGAGGGCAGTCCAAAAGCAGAGGCCAGTTAGCTTTAAGATATTTATACTGCAAAGCAGCTGACAAGTTGCACATGTCAGAAAGTCTTGATGAATCTGCTCATGAGAGCACCCAACAAGATGGCCAGCCTCTTCTGCAGATGTTTGCCGGCGGCTGGGGAAATTTACTTTGATCCATAACTCTTTCTGAAACTAGCTCACTAAACAGTTCAGTAGGGACATGACAATATGATGGACTTCTGGCAAGAACAAAGACCCTCTGAAAGATAAATAGCAACAGTGGCAAAATTGCTACACACATCTCCATGAAAGAGCAGGCACCACTGAAACTGAAAAATTGTGACATGGGGGAAAGTGGTGAAATGGGTGGGGGTGAAACATGAAGAACTTGCCTATTATGTCACCAGCCATAGCATCTCTTGGATTTGGAGAAGTAAAAGGATATACAGGAACACCTTTAAAACAAAAGAAACAATGAAGTGTATTTGAAACACACAGTTATTTCATTAAAAATCATGACGAACCATGAAGTCATCTCCTGTCAGCACAGAGAAGATGATATTCACATGACTCCAGTATCCAACTTCACCTTAGTTTCCTTTCAGTTAGGAACAGGATGAGAAACATTTTTTCAGGGATGTTTTCAAACATCGCTTCTTGAAAGAACAGTGTGAAAGGCCAGGCACCATTTGGAAATGCTACCGGGTTGTTTCTCACTCCCTACCTTTTCGTACAGAAGGCTTTCTCATGCTATAAAGTGTTATGAGGGCTACCTAGGCAGCTCCAGATTTTTTCACACACCCTGCTTCCAGCTGAAGGTCCACCTCCTGCCATGTGCCATTATCACTCTCCACATGAACTGCCAGAATTCATGGCCTGTGTGTTACCTCTTGGGAGCTTTTGACTTGAGAATCCTCCAGATTAAGAATAGGAAAGACACCCCAATCAAACTTTCCTCCATTAAGATGGGATCCAAAGTCGACATCCTACAAGCATCAGTAGGACTTGGATCAAGGACTACCTGAGCTGAACTTACTTAAAAATGTTGGATTACAAACAAGAGGATAAACAAGATGTGATCATCTACAGTGCATCACACAGGGAGGGTTTATTCTATCACAGCCATTGAATTCTACTGCGTCCAGCTGTGGAACCCACAACATCAGAAGGATATAGACCGGTTGGAACGAGTCCAGAGGAGGCCACGAAGATGGAGAAAGAAGGCTCTGCAGAGACCTTAATCATAGAATCATAGAATGGTTTGGGTTGGAAGGGACCTTAAAGATCATCTAGTTCCGGGGGGAGACACCCCTTCCACTAGCCCAGGTTGCTCAAAGCCACATCCAGTGGCAGCCTTCCAGTACCTCAAGCAGGCTACAAGGAGGCGAGGGGAGGGGGAGGGACACATTTTACAAGGGCCTGTAGTGATAGGACAAGGGGGAATGGGGTTAAATTGAAAGAGGGGAGGGTTAGATTGGATAACAGGAAGAAATTCTTCACAGAGAGGGTGGGGAGGCACTGGAACAGGCTGCCCAGAGAAGCTGTGGATGCCCCATCCCTGGCTGTCTTCAAGGCCAGGCTGGATGAGGCTTTGAGCAACCTGGTCTAGTGGAAGGTGTCCCTGCCCGTGGCAGGGGGGGTGGAACTAGATGGTCTTTAAGGTCCCTTCCAACCCAAACCATTTTATGATTCCGATTCTGGGGCAAGAGTTGAATTCATAGAATGTCACCTGTTTTATCAGCTGTCAGAAACACGCTTCTCCTGAGGGCGCAAAACTCTCCCACCCACGCACTTTCAGAATCTGATGATGGAATCACAAGCTTTTACGCAGCAAACGCAACCCTAATGTTGCTTTTTTCCTCAATTATTTTATATATAAATTTGTTTATGGGGAAAGTATTTAATTTGCTGAATTCCCAACACTTAATTTTAATCTCTTCATTGTAAAGAAAAGAAATGTAATTTTCAACTAATCAATAGTGTTAGCATTCTGCTACCATTTTCAATGAGCAGAAACACCATTTATGCCACATGATTTTTCTAATATGTTTATATTCTCTGGATTTACAATTGCTTTTCCTTCAGCAGCTTCTTAAGCATCTGAAGCAAACTGGAACCCTTCCTTTGACCACATATCTGCACCTACCTGCAGTCCAGCAAAAGTAAGAAAGCATGGCTGAGAGCCTTTGCTCTGGCAGGAGGACCTTTCCAACATCACATGGGTGCTATTTTAGAATTATTTTTAATTATTTTAGAATCTACTGACAGCCCATAAGCTTTGTTTATGAGGGATGCGATTCCAAATCCTAGGAGGTTCCAAATCAAGCAGAAGACATAACCATTTTCTCCCCTCTCTCACTACAGTCATGTTCCACTTTCTAGTCCAAGGCATCTTCAGGCCTAAAGACCCTAAGACATGTTTAAACAATTTGTCCAGAGCTTCAGGACTGGAGTTCATCAGTTACTGACAGATAAGTAAGTGGTGTTGACAAAGATGTCTTTACTGAACTCAGAATTGTAAGAATGCAGCAAATCTACTTGATTTTCAAGTAAGCATCCTTTTGTAAAATAAACCAGATTCTCTTCAGTTATTATGGCAACTGATTTATCAGGATGAATAAACAGGATGAATAAAACAAGTGAAGCTGGAAAGCCATGTGTTTTAACCAAGTCAAGTGTCACAAAAGGAGCTAATTCTTTAATGCACATTTAAAATACTGGAAAAGAAGCATTTTTATTTGTATACTTACGGACACAAAACGGATAATCATAGAATCCATCAGCACAGCGTTCACAGTTTTCTCCCTGGAAATTTGGCTTACAGAAGCAGTGGCCAGACCCTTCCTCACAGCCCTCTGCATGCTCCGAGTTACAGCTGCAGGCTAAGTAAGTATCAGCAATTAGGCTCTTTTTGGAAAACAATTTGCCTTTTAAAGCAGTGCGCAGTGGCCTTATAACAGTATTTCATTTGCAGCTGTGAATGCGTCATTATTTAAAGAATTAAAATTTGCATACTGTTACATATTTTCCAAGTGCTCTGTGTCACCAATTAATATTTGTGATATCCCTTAGAAGTAAGACCTATATTATTTGGTTTTGGTTTGGTGGGTTTTTTTGGTTGTTTTGTTCTGTTTTGTTTTTAATTCAGAAAGCTGCATGTTATCACCCCACAGCACTGCAGCAACTATCTTTTCTGTGGCTTCTGCTCATGTCTCGCCACGGCCTAAGCTAAGCACCGCGCTCCATCCACCTTCACTTACGCACCACGTGCGGCACACCACAGCTCTCTTGACTTCCTGTTCATTTCAATACCCAAACACAACAAACTTGCTTCCTCTGACTTGTCACAAGGCTCCTTCAGCCTGTTTGTAATTCAACCCTTATCTCTGACCTATACTCAGCTCTTCTTTTTTCAATATCAGAAAGTATCCTACTGCATTATTTATTAGTCATTAGGTTCAGAATGGCATAAAATCAGAGTAGTGATCCTCATAACCTTTTGAGCTATAGAATAAAATTTCCAAGTGTCCAAGAGCCAAAGAATACTTCACAGGCACACCAGAGAGTTAAGAGAAGCAAGGCCGTGAGGCTAGGAGAGTGGCTTCCTAGAGGTCATGCCACCTCAGTGGGGGGGGTGTAGCAACACCTCAGGATTATATGGTCCTAACTCCTCCTCACCCTTTTCTAGCTTACTTCTTCCTAGCGTACCGCTGCTGGTCTGAAGCTTTAGGCTGACGACACATAAGTTCAGAAGGGTCTAAAAGGGTCGAAAGCAACAGAGAAAGTAATTTGCAGTTGTTCTCCAACATCTTTTGGCCACTCTTTCATTTTTCCTCCCTAGAAGATGCATCCCATGTCCTGACTACAGCAAAAAACCCCAAACCACTACCATGAGAAGATGGTTAATAGAGAAGGACTTACGTATACAGCCATCAGGAGCTCCTGCTGGAACACCATAAGGCCGATAGTAACCTTTTGCACACCTCTCACAATTAATACCAGCTGTGTTATGCTGTGCAAAATAAAACACAGGGATAATATAACATTAAAAAGGGAACTTGGAAAAATTAAGACATCTTAGCATCCGTTACACTGTTTCTATGTACAACTACAACAGGATCAGCACAAGAAAAAAAATGGAATATGGCTGCAATAAAGACAGCATTCATCATTTGCTGTTCTTTAACCACCCGTTCTCTGCAGATTTCTGAATCATCGTACTCTCACATAAAGCAGCTGAATTTTATCTTTAAAGCATGATAAAAAGAGCTATATTAACAAAAAAAATCAAATCTAGGAAACAAAATTCTGTTTTTGTTATAAAATCACATGATATTTATCTCTTTTTACACTACTTTCTTATAACAACATGACCAGTGTTCAGGCGACTGCATCATTAATTTCCCCTTATACTATATATTACTTTTTGAATACTCTATGTCTAAGATCAGCAACATCTAAATAAACCAAAACCTGACCAGTCAGGTCAGCGCAAAACAGATCTTCCATTCGAAAAGCATGCCTCTCTATAAACATGTGTTTTAGGCACACTAAGTAACTTGAATGGCAGCAAAAACTTATAAATCCCCTGTGAACAGAGTCATAAGTGTATTTCAACTCCCCTGTGGTGGGAGCAGCAGGACCGAACAGCAGCGATGGCATTCACTAGTTGAGTAAATCACAGTCACAAGGCATTCTGGTGGGCTCCTAGTCTTGTGAGTGGGGAAGCAGAGGTAGGGGGAGGGGGGATTTTCCCTGGAGCAGCTGCCCCCAGCTCCCACTCACTGTTTAGTTCCTTCTTAGGGAGTGTTGCAATTCAGGGCTGTGAGCAGGGACCCAACATTAACGGCGTGGCGGTTCATGAGCAGGGCACCCGAGAACATTGCTGGGGCTGCTGCTCGCCATTGGCCCTCCCAGTTCGCATGGTACTTTTGGGTTCTGTTTCCAGCTCTGCCAGGAGCCTCCTCCAGCACCTGCAGATCTGAGCTACTGCTAGGAAAGGCTGACACTAGCTCGGCAAGGGTGATGTTCACGTTGCACCGCAGATGGAGACACAGTGGTTGGTGCGTCTTCTTCAGAGCCTACTGGTGCTAACTCCCGTGGCACATCAGAGACCCCTACCCCAGACAGAACTCCAGAAGGGGGGTGCCACTGGCCAGGTCTGGGGCTGCAGGGAATGCCTGGACCTCTCCCTGGGGCTTGGGGTGAATCTGATACTGTAGTAGGTGTCTATTACAGACCACCTGAATAAGAAGGCACATGAAGCTTTCTTTAGGCAGCTAGAGAAAGCTTTCTTACTCCCAGATGACTTGAACCACCTCAGTATCTGCCAGAAGGGAAATGCAGCTGGGTGCAAGCATTCCAAAAGTTATGTATCAAAGACAACTTCCAGATGCAGAGGTACCGGATCCAGTTAGGGGAGATGTTCTGTTCAAACTGACACCCACTAACAAGGCGGAACATGTGAAGGTTGAGGGCAGCCTTGTCTTGTGACCCTGAGACTGTGGATTTTAAGATCCTGAGACAAGTAAGCAAGACAAGTAACAGAATTACAGTGCTGGGCTTCCGAAAAGCAGATTCTGCCTTGTTCAGGACCTGCTTGTTAAGATCCTGTATGAAACTGCCCTGGAGGGGAAAGGGGACCAGGAGGACTAGATGATTCCTATGGACCACCTCCTTAGAACAAGAACAGTTCTTTCCAGTGTGCAGAAAGTCAGGCAACTATGGCAGAAGGCCAGCACAGATAAATACAGAGTCCCTGACTGATCTCAAACTCAAAAAGAAAGCACACAGAAGGGGGAAGCAGGGACAGGCCACTTGCTGGCAATATAAAGACACTGCCCAGCATGTAGGAGTGGAGTTAGGAAAGCCAAAGCTCAGCTGGAGGTCAAGTTAGCGAGGGAGGTGAAGTGAAAAAGGAAAGGTTTCTAGGAGTACATCAGCAGCAAAAGAAAAGCTAATGGGCGTAGGGGTCCATAGCTCAGCTGGAAAAAAGATCCAGTGAACATCTTAGAACACATGAAGGACAGGAAGGTGATTGGATATATTCAACATACATTTACTTAGGGCACAGTATGCCCGACCCACCTCATTGGTCTCTGTGGTAAGATGACAGGTGCTGCGGACAAGGGGCAGGGCAGAGCCACCAATGTGGTGAGGGACTGAAGCACACCACATCCAAGAAGAGGCTGAGACAGCTGGGTCTCTTCAACATTAAGGAGAGAAGGGAGAACTTATTGCTATCTACAACTACGTGATCAGAGGATGCAGAGCGGATGGAGCCAGACTCTTCTCAGAGGTGCACAGCAATAGGATAGGAGACAACAGGCACAGAGTGGAACATGGAAAATTCCAAACAGATATGAGGGAAAAAATATCATGAAGATGGTCAAACACTGAAACAGGATGCCATGAGTGATTGTGGAATCTCCACCCCTGGAAGTGTTTAAGGCTTGACTGAACAAGTCCCAGAAAAACCTGCTCTAATTAGACCTGCTCGGAGTAGGGGGTTATTCCAAACGGATATGAGGGAAAAAATATTATCATTAAGATGGTCAAACACTGAAACAGGATGCCATGAGTAGTTGTGGAATCTCCACCCCTGGAAGTGTTTAAGGCTTGACTGAACAAGTCCCAGAAAAACCTGCTCTAATTAGACCTGCTCGGAGTAGGGGGTTGGATGACATGATTTTCAGAGCTCCCTTGTTATCAGACTAAAGAAATTAAATCTATCTTTGTATGCAACATTTCAATTCTATCACTTCATCCTTCAGGCATCCATTCCTAACACTCATTTCCCTGATACAAAAAGAAAAAGTTAATTAAAATCCATGTATTTTACTCATGAAAAAAAGAAAAAGCTGTAATTAGATTTATGGTAAACTCATTTAAACCAGCATAACTTCCACAAAATTAGGTTACAAACAACTGATAGCAGTCATATGAACAGGACTCATAGATTTAGATTAGTTTTGCCCTTTTTGATCCTGGAGAGAAATGTTCATTCATGAACAGAGACCTGACAGGAAGGACCAACATGATAAATCTTACCAGACTGCATGAACAAAGTTCTGCACAGAAATGTCAATTGGAAGACAAAGAACATTTCTTCAACTTCTGCTAGGAAAAATAACTCTACTCTCTTCTGCCTACCTTTTGGACAATATCTGATTATATTATGGCAATAAGATGGAAAACATACCTTATAAATTTTACTGGATATTTCCCATTTTTTGTTGCTTAAATACAGCTATATTTTTTTTATGCACAGCATGGTAATACATAAATCGTGATGCGTAGGTTTCATAGAAACATAGGCTTGATGATAATTTTCCCTGTGAATTACATTTTAGTCAGCTGCTTTTCATCATACTTCAGATTACCTGACCACAAAAGGAAAAGAGACTTCCCAATAATCATGGCTGTATTTAACCCCGAAATCACTGAACCAATGAATAATTTTGGTTGCAAAGGAGCTCAGGTGGTTCAATCTCACTCAAAGTAGAGATAAATCCAAGATTAGATCAAATTGATCAGAGCCCTGTATGATCTTTCCTGATGGCAATTAGTCAGAGTAGAACACAAATTACTCAGGATGAGAGACATTCTTTCTCTTTCCAAGAACACATTATTCATTAACGACAGAGTAAACTCTCCAACTCCAAGTTTACATTTGTTGATTCAATCCTTCCAAGCCTCTAACGGGCTGGAGCACCTGGTGTGTAAGGAGAAACTGAGGGACTGGCTTTGGTTGGCTTGGAGAAGGGGTGTTCAAGGTGGGTAGGGGTGTCTAATGGCAGTTTTCTGCTGCTTAAGAAGGGTTTCTGGAAAAGAAAGAACCAATGCTCCTTAGACATTCACAGTGAAAGGAAAAAAGGCAACAGCCAAGAACTGAAATTAGGGAAATCCCTACTGAACAGTAATAAAATTCTCTTTACTGTGAGAGTGATTAAGTGCTGTAAAAAATTACCCAGAGTCTGGCTAATCTTCATCTTCGGAGATTTTCAGATCTCAACTAGGCATTTCTCGGTGCAACCTGATACAACTTTGCATCTAGGCTTGGTCTAATTAAAGCACTAGTCTAGATGACTTCAGAGGTCACTTCTACAATTCTGTGCTTATTTAATACATATAAACTTCCTTCTTGGTATAGCCTATGCCCTCCTTTACTCCTGCTGATGAGCACTCTTTTTTCCGCAGTAAGGAACCAGCTGGCCTGAGCTGGAATTTTATTTGGTTGATTTTACTTCCTTCTGTTAAAGGGTGGAAATGGCAGAGTTCGTAATAACAGGAAAGGGATTTTTTTGTAGTTGATTTAATTGTTGCATTGTGTGGCTTTATTTGAATCACACATGACTGAGCACAAATACAATTTATATGTGTCTTTTATACATTGACAAGCAATGTGGTACAATGTATATTAGTTTCAGATACCTTTTTTTCTCCTTTGAGTACAACTAACAACACCACAGAAATGGAGCTACCTAGACTGGTCAGCCTCCAGACTGTTGGTGTGAACACAGTCCCACTTCAGTAGCCCTTCTTCAAATGCCAGGTGTTTAAACTGACCAAAACAACCTCTTTACCTGGCAGTTAATGCAGACTCCTCCACCTTCATAACGCCCATGGATGTTTAAGCTTTCTCGACGCTGATCAATATCAGCATCATAGTAGCAATCAGTGGCATGTCCATGGCAATTGCAGGCTGAAAAAGTAATATTCCAAGTCAGCTTTCATTATTGTGCTGGAATTCAGTAATGTAGCAGAGGTGAAAAAG